TTTTTTTTTTTTTTTTTTTTTTTTTCCTAAAAAGAAAATATCTTTTATTTTTATTTTTATTTTTTGAGGAAAAAGAGGATTAGTAGCCATGTATCAGAATTTTGGCTCAAATTCGCTTTCATCCTGCAACGGTTTCTCTCTCCGGATTCTTTAAAGGTAAAACAAGAAGATCCCCTCTCTTTTTTCTTTCTATTCATCTTCCTTTTCAGCCTTTTTGATGGTGCTTTCTCCTTCCTTTTTCTGCCGTTATTAATGTAATCTTTGTTTAGTTCTCAAAATTTGCTTTCAAGCCCTAATTTTGTATCATGTTATCGCTCGATCGATTGTTTTTCTGTTTTTATGATTGAGAAAGAGGCTGTCATCTCGGATTATTATACCTTACATCTGAATTGTTTGCAATCGTGATTGACATTTCATTTAGAGAATAATTGAATGAGATTGTAATTCGTTCCGTTTATTTTCATTTTGGTTATTATCCAACTCGATTCATTGCTTCGATGTTGTTGATTTGTTGATTTGGGATTTGAGGATTAATTCTAGAGCAATCTGAATCCTGAATAATATCTTTAGATTTTCCATTGATAAATCATGTCAGTTTCATGAAATATTGCTTCCGTTTAGTGTAGAGATGCTGGTGATTGATTGTCATGTTCGTTTTCGCATGAGCTTGTTTCAAAATAATTGTTCAAACATCTTTTTACTAATTCATGGCGCAGGTATGGAGTGTTTTGACATCTGTAAAAGATCATGGTTCAATGCCTAGAGGGAATAAAGCATTTCTGTGCTGCTGTAGCAAACTGTTGTGATGCAGAAACATCTAGGCGACCTAGGGGCCTTCAAGATCCTGAGGCTCTTGCAAGGGAGACAGTATGTATGTTTCTAGAATTGGCCCAATCATCCTTTTGATTTCTTGGCGTGGATATTTTATTCCTTTCATATTCCTTTCAAGGTCTAACTAATGTGTCACATCAAGGATAAATGTGTTGATAAGACCTTCACTCTTTTATTTGGTTGTAAATTTTGGCAGTCATAAGTTGTTTGCTTTCTCTATTGCAGTCAGTGTAAGTGAAATAGAGGCATTGTATGAGCTGTTTAAGAAGATCAGTAGTGCAGTGATTGATGATGGGCTGATAAATAAGGTAACAGCCAGTGGAGAAGGGATTGTTCTGTTCCACTTTACTCTTTAATACAGTGGTTTCAATCATGTTGTAAGACGATAATCTTTTCATGTTTGAACCAGACTTGCTTTTCCTTTGTTTTGACTCTCCCTCTGTATCATACTGCAGGAAGAATTTCAACTGGCACTGTTCAAAACAAACAAAAAAGAGAGCTTATTTGCAGATAGGGTAAACCTTATTGTTTGCAACTGAACCTTTGGTTCTATTTACATACATATCCACTATAACCTGACTGGCCCAGACGACCCTTCATATTTTATTTATTTATTTATTTATTTTGCTTATATTCAATGTCTAGTTTCTGTATTTAAATGATTGAAATTGAGGTATCTAATCATACAATTTTGTGAATAAAGTCTTATGCAGTGTGATAACTAGTGCATTCTCTGGACTAGTTTCCTTTTGAATGCATGCATTTGTGTCACTGTAGTTAGCATCTTACTGAAACGTGGCTGCGTATATTTGGTTCAATTAGATATAAGAGTTAAGAAAACAATTCTAGTTTCTATTCTAATCAGATTCTTTCTATTTGTTTGTATGGGGATTGGGTTTGTTCTTCATGAGAAGTGGTGTATGGCATTGTTTTAGCACACTATTATCTCTTTCAAATATCTGCTGTTTTGGTAAAAATTATTGCATTCATATTCTGGCTTATTGCTAGTTTTTACTACTAACGACTTTTGTAATGCATCTGTGTAGGTTTTTGACCTGTTTGATACAAAGCACAATGGAATACTCGATTTTGAAGAATTTGCACGTGCTCTTTCCGTCTTTCATCCAAATGCCCCTATTGATGATAAAATCGAGTGTAAGTTTTCTTTTTGTTGTTAATTTTCTCACGTCCATCCACCAAGAAAAATGGCACAGCTGTTGTCTTTGATACATGGTGTGATCAAAATATTTTGGGCATGGGTGAATGCCTTCGATTTCGTACAATCCATTGGAAAAGAAAAAACTAATTGGTGGTGCTACAGATACTGGAATTGATTTTTTGGCGTTAGCTTTCCTTATCACTCTAGTCTTGTATTTTAAGTTAGCATGTGATCTCATGTTTTTAATAATTTGCAGTTTCATTCCAATTATATGATCTTAAACAGCAAGGATTCATTGAGAGACAGGAGGTAACTTCTCCAATACATTCTCTATTTCTATTTGATCAATTACCTTGCATGGATGCTGACCATTTAAAGACTTATTATTATAGCAGCTGCCCTTTTTAATTGATGATCTTTTCTGAACATTTACACGGATGATACCAATGATCTTTAAAGACTATCAAGGATCTATTAGATAAAGATGTTACAGAATCTTTTTACGAAATCCAATTTCTAATTCTTCTTGTACCCTGCTATCTTTTTATCAAGGATCTATATTACCAGTACTATTGTAGTCTTTTATATGATAAAATGTTTGTGTAGGTAAAGCAAATGGTTGTGGCTACGCTTGCTGAATCTGGCATGAATCTATCGGATGATGTTATAGAAAGTATCATTGACAAGGTTCTCTTCGTAATCTGATCACGTCTGTTAGTTAGTCTTTTCTGGTTAACTTTCAGTTGTCCAGGACATCTGCTGAACTTAAAACTGGATGTCTCCTTGACTATGCAGACATTCGAAGAAGCTGACACAAAACATGACGGGAAGATCGACAAGGAAGAGTGGCGAAACCTTGTATCAAGGCATCCATCACTTTTGAAGAACATGACTCTCCAATATCTCAAGTGAGTGAGCTGCATTTTCTGTCATTGTTCATTCCCAACCTCATCATCCTATTGATTGTTCATTCGCTCCCTGAGTGATTGATTGTATTGCTAAGTAAGTTGATGATGTACTTTGTGTTTGTGTGGGCAGGGATATCACGACCACGTTCCCAAGTTTTGTGTTTCACTCGCAAGTTGATGATACCTGAGAAGTCTGTCACAATGCAATGGCGGTTCGATTTGAGTTTGATTGATATTTTCTTCTTTCTTTCTAAGTACAAATTGTGGTTAGGTTTATGAACTATAATCTGTGTTTTTGGTTCTTAATACTTTCATTTGTTTCTTCTTTTTTTAAACCCATCGGTTCAATGTCCAAAGATTATCTTTACCCTCTATTTCATCTGCATTTCACCCAATAATTAGCTTTATATATATATATATATATATATATATATATATATATATATATATGTATGTATGTATGTATGTATGTATGTATTTATCTATCACCCAACATTTTAATTTACTATCTAATCTCATGGTTAATAATATAATTAAGAAAACTATTTCCACTATATAAAATAATGGAATAAAAAGATTAATTATGTTTCAAATCTAGAATTATAAAAACTAAAAATAAATTATTATGGAATGAAATTTTGATGGTTAAAATCGGAGTGTAGTTTTGATATTTAAATTTTTATCAATTTATTATTATTTGAAGTTTGATTTTGGTTATTAAATTCTTACTTTTTGATATTTTCAAATTGTTAAATATTAATTTAGTTCTCCAACTTTTATTATATTGAAATTATATTTCTTATCAAGGAAGTATGATAATACATATTAGTTCTAAAATAATATTAATTTTATTACAACTCCAATTTTTATTATGTCAAATAGTTAAATAACTTTAAAATATCTAATACGTCTCTATATATTTAAATTAAAAAGCTAAATTTATATTTAATAGCTTTTAACTTTCAAAATTTAGATTATTAGGTTTGTGAATTAATAAAAAAAAAATGATTAGGTCAAATATTTATTTGATAAAAAAAATTAAAAAAATACAAAAATTAATTTTGTTGACACAAATTTAGAAATTAAAAAACATAAGGATTAAGCTTGTAATTTGGAGTATTGGGTTGAATCCTCGAGAACTGAAAGCTGAGGACTCGTCCCGTGGCGCCAGACGAAAGGGAAGATCCTCTCATTTTCCGATCAAACAACAGGTCCATTTCTCCTTCCACTCCGCCGTTGTATTCTCCTCATCTTCCCTCTTATTTTACTCTTCTTTCCACTACTTTTTCCTTAATGTTTTTGCCCGTATTTCTCTATTCGGTTCTAGGAAAGCATCTCATGAATGCCTTAATTTTCGTTTTCTGTAGTAGGTTTTGCTTTGGGGTCAACAATTTTCAATAATGTCGGAGAAAGGCGAAAAGGGTTTTCCAGTGCAGAAGAAACCTGGAAAGTCTTCGCTCAAATCTTCGGCTTCCAAGGATGGTTCGTATTGTTGATGTCTTTTGAGGTTTTTTGTTTTGGGAATCACTTCGATTTTAAAGCAACCATCACGACTGTTTGTACAGAACTGAAAATTTGTGAACCCTCGTTCCTTCCAGCTTTCCATAGATTATGCATGTAGTTTGCTAAATTTATCAGAGCACATCATTAACTATATAATTAGTGATAATTTCTATGGAGCTGGGCATTTTAACGAGATTGCTTAGGATAATTAAGCATGATTGAACATTATTTTCTGGTGTTGTGGTTTCTTCTCTTTTACTCTTCATTTTGCTATCCGATGTATCATTTTCTTCCTGACTTGTTGCATAGCTTCTCTAAAAGGAAAGGATGACAGTTTGTCGAAGTCAAAGAAGGGTAGGAAAGTCCAGTTCGATGCTCAAGGTGAACAGTCTTTTCTGTCACGCGAATAATGATACTTTTTATGTCATACAAGTCACTTGATGTACCATTATTCTCTATGTGCAATCAGTTACTTGTCTGAATCAATGTGCTTATTACATAAAACTTCATAACTAATCCTACATGCAGGGTCAGTTGATGCGCAGATCAATCTTTCATTGAAATTCAGTGGAAAAAATGGTATTTGTTTTCAATGATCATTTTATTTTCAATTTTACTCTTTATCTTTACTTCTCTACCTTCATCTGCCTGATATTGTTCTGCTAATGCAATTCACTGACTTTGTCTCCTTCGCAATCATGGCTTGCAGGTGACTTGGGTAAAGGAGGGAAAGGTATAAATGGTGGGAAGGCTTCTGTTTCAAAGGAACAACAACCGCTAGAACTGAAGATTGAGCAAGGTGGGTACTACCTTGACTTTGAATATGTATTAAGTTTTACCATTATTCATATTATGGAAGATTGATATTTCCATACCTATTCTATTAAAAAAAAAAAAAGAAGTTATCTTGAGCTGCCTTCCTTCATCTTCTAGTATGTAATGTTGACTGATATTACTATTTGATAGTGCTTATGGGGTTTCAAATTTGAATTTCAATTTTCTATGTAAGCAACAGCAACATTTGCTTTTGTCTTCTTGGAAGTTTTTAAAGTTATTCTTCATTTTGAGAAATCTTGGTGCTAGTGCGTTCATCTTTTTGTGACTTCTCCCTCGTTCTATGGGCAACTGACTGTTTCCTCTTCTGAGGCCTCAGTTTATTTATTACTGTTGGGATAGTAGATTGGTCTCAGTATGCTATTTAATTATGCTGTTTATTGTTGTGTTGATTCTTAATTGACGTGCAGAACTTCCCAAGAATGTTAAATGCCAATGCCTTATGGACTGTGAGGCTGCACAACTTTTACAGGGAATCCAAGATCAGATGGCTCTTCTATCAGCAGATCCAACCATCAAAATCCCTACGTAAGTGAATGTTATTAACCATTTATTGGAAAGAAAATTTTTCTCAAGCTTACAAGCTTGATTTGCTTTTATCTTTAGGTCATTTGATCGGGGACTGCAATATGCTAAACGAGCCAACCACTATGTAAATACCGAGTTGGTTAGACCAGTTCTTGAGTATCCTTGATCTGATGAATGTGCTATTAGGTTATATTGTTAAATATCTTTTTATCTATTTCTATGGATGGAAACAAATTATATACTACTGTGGAACTATGCTTTTGTACCAATCCAGCACTCCTAGTGTGCTGTATAGTGCTCTTTTTCTTAGTCCATTCAAACTCTGTTGAGTGCTTAACTGAAGATTCTAGAACCCTCAAGAAATATGGTGTAGCGGACAGTGAGGTAGTTATATCTATCTTCTTTTTTGCCTTCTTAAAAATTAATTCCTTAGATTGATGAACTGACCATTATTAATTTTAACGTAGATATGTGTGATTGCTAATGTCTGCCCAGACACTACTGATGAAGTTTTTTCTCTTGTTCCATCTTTGAAGGTACAGTATAAGTTTTTATAATTTCTGTAACTTACATCACCATGCCATATGAACATAGTTAAACACATATTTAGTTTCTATACTTCGATTCTTGTAGTGTTTTAGTCTTGTTGTAATTTCTTTTAGTAAAATGTTAGTCTGCCCTGTTTAGAGGTCATTTTTTAAAGTTCAACTATTCTTAAATGATTCTAAAGTGTGCTTTTAAGGACTTCTGATCATACAATTTAATAGGTAGTTAAACACTGTTACAAAAATGAAAAGCATACTTAATTAGTGCCCCCATCCAAGCCCACCGCTAGCAGAAATTGTCCTTTTTGGGTTTCTTTTCAGGCTTCCCTTCAAGGTTTTTAAAACGCGTCTGCTAGGGTGTGGAAAACCTCACCCTTATAAAGAATGTTTCATTCCCCTCTCCAACCGATGTGGGATCTCACAATCCACCTCCCTTCAGGGCCTAGCGTTCTCGCTGCCACTCGTTCTCCTCTCCAATCGATGTGTGACCCCCTAATCCACCACCTTTAGGGCCCAATGTCCTCGTTGGCACACCGCCTAATGTTTACCCCTTCGGGGCTCGGCGTCTTCACTAGCACACTGCCCAATGTCTGGCTCTTATACCATTTTATATCAGTGAGTATCTATGAGTGTTTGAGTCAACTTGCGTGCAGCTCGATTGATCTCATGGGACAGTCGTTTGATCCTACTACATTTGAATTAGTCAAAAACATTTTAAAGATGTTTCCAGAGACGGGGTTGGAGTGGTTATGCATGTTTGGAATGTTGATCCTATGACACTATGATTTATTAATTTATTTTGCTTCAACATGATTTCATACAAAGCAGAGCAAAAGAAGCAAGCTAACCGAACCTCTGAACAACGTCTTGATTGAGCTAGCCAAGCTAAAATCATCCTGAAGTGAAGTCACAAGGTTGGTTGCTTACCGTTGCTGGTGCTCAGGTCCGGTTGCCTTCATCCTACGAAGATTGCTTTATATGGCGCTTAGAAAGTTAAGACCTTTTTTTCTCTTTCAATGCAATTCAATAGAGATATAACTGTATTTGCTTACTGGAATTGTTGATATATAGTGTAGAAATAGGGGCTACTCTGCTGAGAGAATGCCTCTCCCAGGTGATGAAGATCAGATAGAAAAACCATCATCGATGATCTAATGTAAAGGGAGTCATTTCTACTGGATGCTACACATGTTTTGACTATTTTAATAGCTCATCTTCAACGATATGAGTTTCTTAGTTTATATCTTTTTTTTTTTTTTAAAGTTTAAACTAAAAAATAATAATTTTCAAAAACTAATTTTATTTTTTAAATTTACGATAAGAAAATAGATACAATTTTTTAAAACCAAATGTTTGGAATTTTAATTTTTTTTTTTAATCTTGATCTTTAATTTAAAAATTTATAAAATAGTGTGATTATGAAAGGAAAAATAATTGATAATTAATGTTTGCAATTTAACCTATTAATCTAATTTAATAAAAATTTAAAACTACAATATTAACCAATAAAAGACAAAAAAAAATTCACTTCAATAATTTGGAGGGTATTTTTGTAATTCCAACTGCACAAATAAATTAATATATATTTAAATTCCTTCTTTAAAAAAGGCGTAGAGTACTGATTAAACAGTGTTTTCGTGAAGTGACGAAGGAAGAAAAAAGGTTTCAAAAGCACGACTCGCATTGACTCCTCATCTTCGGAAATCGGATAGGATTGATCATCGAGAAGACTAGGAATTTAATCGCCATCGCAGTTCTGGAATTCAAATCTTCGATTCAAATTTTGAGTTTTACGTGAGCGATCGCTGATGAAAGTGCCGGAAAACGAAGTTAAAATGGAATCGTCAGATGAAGACGACGAGGAAGATGAAGTATGGAGGAAACACTACTCTTCGAAACACAGGATATTACTTGTCGGAGAAGGCGATTTTTCCTTTGCCCTGTGTTTGGCCAATCACTTCGGATCTGCTCGTAACATCGTAGCCACTTGCCTTGATTCTCAAGGTTAGATCATAATCGCACTTATGATTTCTCTGTGACTTTTTCTCTCTGTGTTGATGATTCGATTTGTCCTGTTTTTCGATTCCAGATGACCTTGAAAGGAAGTTCAGCGACGGAATTAGGAATGTGAGGGAGCTGGAAGAAAGAGGATGTTTAGTATTCTACGGAATCGACGTTCGAAATATGAGTCAACATTTCTTCCTCAGAACACAGAGATTCGATCGCATCGTCTACAACTTCCCTCACGTCGGATTCCTGTTCCGCGAGGACAGTTTCTGCCAAATTCAGTAATCGATTTTCTTCTCTCTCCTTTGAATTGAATTATAATGTAGGAATTTTGCTTGAAAATGGATGATCCAATGGAACCACAGATTGAACAAGGAGCTGGTGGAAGGGTTTCTGAGGAACGCTAGGGTTTTGTTGAAGAAAGGAGATGGGGAGATTCATGTAACACACAAGGAGGGGGAACCGTACAACAAATGGGAGCTAGTGGAGGAAGCCATGAAAGCGGGGTTGCAGTTGCAAGAAACGGTACCGTTTTGCAAGAATGATTATCCAGGATATCAGAACAAGAGAGCCGATGGAGGTCATTCGAATGCGCCATTTTGGCTTGGGGATTGCAGCACTTACAAGTTTAAGCTCAATCAGTCTCCCTAAAATGGCGATGGGATCAAACAAACAGAAATTCAGAGAAGAATGGAAGGAAACTTCTTCTCTACTTCTCTTAGCTTACCTGTATTGTCTTCTTGTTATGAACTCTGTCTTATTCATCTCTTTGAGACTCTGGCAATGGCTATCTAATTTCACTATAATTTTAGTTACCACCAAATTAATATCATTCTGATTAATTTGGCTGTGATTATACTTTATACTAATTTTTTAGAATAAGGTTATTTATAGATTTTGTTTTAATTCTTTGAATATACAATAAGCTCCTCATACATTTACTTGAATATGTTTTTTTTTCTTTGAATTAGTTTATAAAATTTAAATTATCACTTAATTAGATATCATTTTTAGTCACCATATTTAGCTATAATAACTAAAAAATTATACATGTTTTTAAATTAATCTTCTTTTTTTGTTTGCTCTAAATTGTTCCTCAAATATTAAGAGAAATATCTGTATTTTTTCGGTATTAATTATTTGTAAAAAAATGTTTGAAAAAAAAAAAGAAATTAGAAATTAAAAAATTAAAAAATAATAAAAATCGAAATTTACTAGAAAAATGCATCACAGTAATTCCGGCCTACGTTGTTTCCATGCTTTCTCGTTCTTTCCTTTAGAATTGCTCTCGATTTCTCAGATTTTCTTAAATCTACACGATGATCTTCGGCTTTTGTAGAGTTCTTTAAACACCAATCAAACTGAAATCATACATTTCTTGCGATTAATCCGTGTAGTCTGAAGCAGATCCTGTCGGAACAATGTCTTATGCTTACCTCTTCAAGTACATCGTCATCGGTGATACTGGTACGTCTCTCACCCTTCCGAACTATTGGATCGTTTTTCCTTTCCATAATGTTCCAATTGAAGATCGGTTTGCATTTGTGTTTCTCGAATTCTTGCGCGTCGTGTGGTTTCTTCGGTCTCGGCTTTTGCTTGGATCAATTTCATTATAATCGCCGAAATGAGATTTTTTCACCCCCGCTCGATTTCTATGATATATTTGTTGCGAATCACATTGTTCGTCTTCTTCAGGAGTTGGCAAATCGTGTCTTCTTCTTCAGTTTACGGATAATCGATTCCAGCCTGTTCATGACTTAACTATCGGGGTCGAATTCGGAGCCAGGATGATAACCATTGAGAATAAGCCAATTAAGCTGCAGATTTGGGATACGGTATATTCCCCTGGTTTCTCATTCGAATTTTCTGTTTGTTGTTGTAACCTAAATCGAAGACTTGTGTGATTCTTATGAAGTCGAGAGACGGTATATATATATTCTTGTGGCATGATTTCTTTGGTAACTTGTAAATTTTCTGTCGCTTAGTGTAGGAGTCTCCAAAATATGCTGTCATTCTCCATGTACATTTATAATGTTTAGGGTTTGCATTTTCCTTTTGTGCATATTGTAATTGGAACCAAACTTAGCTACTTCCTCACGCTCTTAGAGTATACCTTTTCTATTGTCTAGTTCATAATTTATTGAACAAGTGGGTCCATTGATACTTTCCGCCTAATAAAGGTAAGCCACAAGTTGGATGCATTACTCTATATGTATATATATTCCTTAGTTCAACAAATTTTGGGATCGAGATAAAATCATCGATCTTTGGAATGGTAATTAATATTTTGTCCATGAGCTATTACTAATTAGTGTTTAGGTAACTTTTTGTTCCTTAAAAAGTAATCATTCCTTTTTTTGTCAATTGGCATGATTTTGGACCATGTTGGGGAATCTGTGCATAATGATGATCTCTTGTCGAAGCATGAAATTTGTTGTATTACCATCTGGTCAAGATTTTTCTCCATGTTGGCAAACCTCAGTGTCTACACAATTCTAATTGTTAAAGTTTGTACGACTGTAACAGGCCGGCCAAGAGTCATTCAGATCCATCACGAGGTCCTACTACAGGGGTGCTGCTGGTGCCTTGCTCGTCTATGATATCACCAGGTCTTATTTTGTTCCCTTTTCTTCTTGAATGACTGATTAGTATGCGAATGCTGAGTTCTTGCAAGTTCATCCTATTAATACTGGATTTTATATGCATTATAAAGATTGGACTTGTCAGGAAGTGGTCCTTTGAAGTCACGTTGAAAATGGATACCCAATTAGATTTTTTTATTGTATGAAGTTTTTCGTTTTAATTTGCCTTTACCAAGCTCCTTATTTTACACGAGATGTGGTGAATGCATTATTCAGAAGGGAAACTTTCAACCACTTAGTTAGTTGGCTAGAAGATGCGAGGCAGCATGCTAATGCAAACATGACAATTATGCTAATTGGTAATAAGAGTGATCTTGCTCATAGAAGAGCTGTGAGCACAGAGGAGGGTGAACAGTTTGCAAAGGAGCACGGTTTAGTCTTCATGGAGGCATCTGCCAAAACTGCCCAGAATGTTGAAGAGGTGATTACATAAAATCTGCTTGTTTGGGTGTAAATCGTATAGTATTTAGAGCATTTAAGAAACTCAATCTCTCTTGCAGGCATTCGTAAGGACCGCAGCAACCATATTCAAGAAGATTCAGGATGGAGTTTTTGACGTTTCAAATGAGGTTAACATCCATCTTTACCTTTTCTACGTCGACATACCTTTCGTATCCAATAATTTTGGTGAAATTAAAGTTCTAGCACTCATTGAATGTTAAAGATGACGAACTCTTGATTCTTTATGGGAAGAATGAATTGGATGTTAATGTTTTTAACCAAACAAAAAGAGTATGTTCTACTTGTAATGTAATGGCACATAACGATCAAGGAATGGCTGCACATGTGTTGCTGATGCTGCATTTTGTGTGATCTTCAGTCTTATGGAATCAAAGTTGGATATGGGGGGATACCAGGACCAGCAGGAGGCAGAGAGGGATCATCTTCCCAAGTTGGCGGCTGTTGCAGCAATTGAACCTTGAACCTGTAGAAACTAGCTGACTTCAATCTATCTGTGCCTCAATTTCAATTTTTTTCTTCTATTCTTTTTCATCATTTCTCATGTGCTGCAGTGAAATGTGAATATTGGAGCAAGAAGCGTCTGTGTTAAAGGAATAGCCAGGTTCTGTGAATGCTAGGCTATCATCAATCTGTGCTGTCAGTTCAATTGTAAATCAACATTGATTTGAATTCATTAGTTCATGACGTGAAAGAACCTTTTGCTTCATTGGTTGTTTTTTCAGGTTCGATCAATGTGGAAATTGGATCGGACTTTCAATTTGAAAGAATATCTCTTTAAGACGTGTCGTATATTGAGCTGAGCTACGTTTGAATTGCCAATTTTGACATTTGTTCGTTACACCCTATTTGAAATATTTATAATGTTCGTAGTGTTTGATTTTGTGATGCAGATTATTTTATTTATTGGGTTCTCCTATCACTCTCCATGATATTTGAGTGGGAGATAGAATTGTAGGCTATGTTACTTCACTTGTAAGTAATGTTCTCTAACCCAACGGTATATCTCCACACAAATCACGATGCATTGGTTGATTGATATATAAAATTATTAAAAAAGTTTAATTCAATTTTTTGTTGTTTCATAACTTTTTTTTCCTCATTTTCATAACTTTGGTTGATTTTTTTAAAACAAAACAAAATATGAAATAAGTATCAAATAGAGAATAAATTTTGAAGTTGGTATATATTTAATCTCTCAACTTTTAATTTTTTTAAAAAATTTATCGGTTTATTAAATAAAAAGTTTAAGGATTTAGTTAATACAAAACTTAATTAAATTATTTTAGAAATTTTTAAGGATTAAATTGGTCATTTAATCCCATTATTTAGGTTATAATTTATTTTGTAATTATTCACTAATACATTAATGTGAGAATCTAAGCACTTTAATGGTTAGAAAAAGGACAAATTAAAAAAAAAAGACACTTGTAAGAATATAAACATGGTTAATAAAATAAAACAAAATTACAAGCTTTTCCATTAGTTTTTATTTGGTGTGTAAAGTTAATGAATTTTAAATGTTTAAATAAACTTTTTATTGGTCTTGAGTTTTTAACATTTAAAAAAAAATAACAAATCTATCCAACAACCAATTAAATTTTATGTCTAATAAAATATTAAATTACTTTAATTAATTTAATAAATCTTATAAAAATATTTAGGCATAAAATTTAAATCTAACAAATTATTAAATGTAAAATTGTTAATTTAGAGAGATATTAGATACTCTCTTAAACATAAAATTAAAAAATTTATTTAATTGTAAAAAAAAAAAACTACTTTTTGAATCAAAACCAAAAATAGTTCATAAAAGCAAATTTCAAACTACTCTTGATATTTTATTGTCTCAATTGTGCTTTAAAAAAAACCTTATTTTCTTGAAATACTTACCTTTCACCAAGAGCTTCTATAAACTTTTCAATGCCATTGCCCCTTTTTTACTGTAGTAAAATTCACTTTTTTTTATTAATGTTCAAAAAAAAATTACTACCATGGTTGACAGTAATTCATATGTATTCTTTACTGAGAGATCAAAGATTCGATTTCAAGCGAAACTAACAAAACTCGAGTTGCCGAGGGTAAATCCTAATTCAAAAATTAAATAAATCTATCATTCAAAAACAAAGTTCAAAAAAAAATTTCAAAAAAAAATGAAAAAAAAAAATGAAAATCCATTTCCACCCTTATTTCCATTGTATATGATTAAAAGTCGCAGAAATCCATGAAAATGATTTCATAGGAGGAAGCATCGGATCGCTCTGTAAGAACAGAGCCTCAACAAGAAGACGAGCAAAATCATCACTGTACGTATGATTCTACAACGCGCTACTACTCCCTTGTTGAAGCGGTTGATTTAGCAGAGAATTCCAAACACAATCCATACCCTCCCCGGCCGGTCCTTCCCCGTCCTCCACCGCCGTCGCCGTCGCCGGTGCCACATGTGCCTCATACTCCTCCTCCCAAGGATCCGGTAGATTACACCACACCAATTGCTCGGACCACTCCGTAAGCGCAATATCGGCGGTAGTGGATACTCCATCGAAGGACGTGAAGAAAACGTCCTCAACTTTCCAGTCCTCGTATTTGGAGTAAATCAGGCTGTCCTTCAACCAGGGGAAATCAAACACGCCGAATGACAGATCCAAATCAAACAACCTTCCAAATCCTTCGACGTGTTGGCGCTTCTCTCCGTTTCCGATTTCCTGCTGCGACGATTGCTCGTTTCTTACACCGGCCGATGATGAGGACGACGACGACGACGACGATTCTCTTGGTCGCTTGGCGTTACGGCGGTCCATTTTCGATCGGAAAGTGATTAGTAGAAGATGAAGAATGAAATCAGGGGAAGAAGAAGAAGAAGAAGACGAAGAAATAGATTTGAGAGGCAGATTGATGAAGAAATTAGGGAAATGGAAATTGGAGGTTTTGGAAATTGGGTCACGCAATTTGTGAGCAATTGGCGTATGCAACTCTCAGCACGCATCATTCACCCAACATGTTAGATGAGGTCGAGGTTCAAGGTTCGTTCCACTTTTCACGTTCTCTTCCTTTGCTTTTCTCCTTTCACCACCCTCTCTTCATTTCATTTGTTTCCTATACAAATTTTAACCTAACTGCCCTAACATTTTCTTGCATCTAGATCACATATTTAATTTTAATTATTTTTAAGATTCAAAATTATCTTCACAAATCAACACGACTCTTTTTAGCCTACTTTATTCTCATTCTCATTCTCGCTTCTTAAGAAAATTTTTAAAAAAATATATAATATAAAATACACTTAATTTTGAAGTTTACATGATTGAGTCTTAGCCTCCCTCGAAATCACTCTCATTTAAATGTGATCTTAATTACTCATTTTGTAACCCTTCAAGCCCATCGCTAGCGGATATCTTTTTTATTTTTCCCTTTCGAACTTTCCTTCAAAGTTTTAAAATGTGTCTACTACAGAGAGGTTTCCGCACCCTTACAAGAATGTATGTCGTTTCTCTCTCCAACCGATGTGGGATCTCTCAATCCACGGGGGCCAGCGTCCTCGTGAGACGCTGACACACCACTTGGTGTCTTGCTCTAATACCATTTGTAACGGCCTAAACTCACCGCTGACAGTCATCTTTGTTGAGAATTATTCGGAGTGAGTCCCACATCGGTTATTTTAGTGGAAGATCATGGGTTTATAAGTGATGAATACTATCTCCATTGGTATGAGGCCTTCTGGGAAGCCCAAAGCAAAGCCATAAGAGCTTATGCTCGTGGACAATATCATACCATTGTTGAGAACCATGATTCTTAACATGAGTCAAAAGTGACTGAAGTGACAAACATGATCAAATTTAGCCATTTATTTTATAATAGAACTATAGTAATTTTTATATTATTTTTATTTATTGGTTAGACCCATTAAATAAAATAATATATTATTAAAGGACGTGTAAAATATTCCATTAAAGAAATGAGTACTGGAGTTGGACCTATAAAATTAAATAATATTTTATTTAATAATATGTATAATAAAGTGTATACACTAACGCCATAGTGCTGTATTTTCTCATTTTTTTTAATATTTTTTTTTATGATTACGTAAATAAAAAATAAAAAAATAAAAAAATAAAGAATTAAATAAGATAAAGGGAAAAAAAACACATACTAAAAGGCAATAAAGAGATCAAATTTCAATACTTTTAATCAAAATGCCAAAAGAAAAGAAGGAAAATTTTGAAAAAAGAAAAAGGGAAATAATTAAAGCGAAGGGACGCCGTTGAATAATCTAAAGCTGTAAGCACTTTCTCCACTCCCATTTTTAGGAGCGTTTCCTTTTCTCTCAAACCTCGCACTCTCAGGGGATTTTGCAGAGAACAACGCCATTCATTTGCTTGATTCCTTCTTCTTCTTCTTCTTCATTCGATTCTTTCTACTCTTCTTAAGCTTACTATGTTGCTGCATTGGTGAGAGCTTAGAATGGCTGGTGGCGGCAACGGCGGTGGGGGAAGAGGATCTTTTCTGAAGAAAGCTGCTAGGAAGATTTTTGTTGCTACATACGCATGCCGCTCCTCCTCTCGTAGAAAATCTCGCTCTGTATGCTCTCTTCCGTCCTTTCTGTTCCTTACATTGCTTCAATTGCTTGAATTCATGGCTGAAATCGTTGTTTTCGTCGTTTTTTTTTTCTTCTGGAACGCCGTTGTTCTCTTGTTCTCCATTTTCTTTCTCGCTCTTTTGACAAGCAGCTTAACGCCTCCGTTTTCATGGAATTTCGATTGCATATGAGTTTTTGTTTTGTACAGCTACGGTGGTTGTCTGGTCAGTCCTAATTTTTCTTCTGTGGTGACTCTGATGGTTTTCCTCTTTTTGGACTTTTTTTCGATAGGTTTCGAATTTGTCTGCTTCGTCCGCACAAAAACCGAAGCACGCTGTAGAAGAAGTTGGGGAAGCTGAAATTGCAGAACAAATAGAATCAAGAACCTCGAACAATCTGCCTTCCAAGGTAATTAACTTCCTATGAAAGATCTGCCTAGTTACCTCTCCTTCTGCAACTTATCTTAGTGAAAGATAACGTCGTTGGTTTGGAGTTGAAGTGCAGAAACCAATTTCAATTTCTGTAGCCATTTTGTTTTGTGATCCTGCTTTATTTGGAAGATGGTTTCAAAAGAATTTTCTGCTTTTGAAGAACAACAATTGAGTGAAAACATTATCATTATTGTGTTAGATGACAATGTGCCATTAATATGTTAGATTACAATGAGAAGTGTTTAATACTAAACTACAAAATATACTTGTATGATTAATAAATGAATAACAATTATGAAAGTTGTGCTCGAACATAAGCTTGTTCTTTCTATTTTGAGTATCAATTATCTTACCTACATATTTGTCTTGATTCGCATGGCAGAATCTGTGCCCGATATGCCTTGATCCTCTAATCTACAAAACCGAAGGGTGTCGTCCAGGGCAGGCCATTTTCACCGCACAGTGTTCTCATGCATTCCATTTCTCTTGCATCTCATCCAATGTCCGTCATGGCAGTGTCACATGCCCAATTTGTCGAGATCAATGGACTCAGCTGCCCCGGAATTCAGCCCCACTTTGCACCCAGATTGATCCTATTCTCCGTATTCTTGATGATTCCATTGCCACATCCCGCATCAACCGCAGATCCTTCCTGCTCTCCAGCCATTACAATGACGATGACCGTGTCGAGCTTGACCGTACACCTACTCATCATTCTCGTCTTTCTTTCTCTCTACATTTGGCCACATCAAGCTTCTGTCCTCCCATCCAAGTGAGCGGATTTGCCCCCTGTTACCTTTGCTACAACCGCCTAACTCGTCCGCCACTGCCACTGCCTCAGCAATTCCCCTGCAGAAGCCCCTCTCCCTTGTTGCAACCACCTCGTATTACAGCCAAGCTCAGGAACAGGACAAGAGCTTACCTTTCAGTGAAATTGGCACATCAAAGAGCGACTGACTTGGTCCTAGTTGTGTGTTCCAATGGCCCGCACTTGAGGCTCCTCAAGCAAGCCATGGCCCTAGTGATTTCCTCCCTCCATTCCATCGACTGTTTGGCCATCGTTATTTACTCATCTTCTGCAACTAGTGTGTTCCCTTTGAGGCGGATGACATCTTATGGAAAGAGAGCTGCCTTACAAGTCATTGATCATCTGTTCTACATGGGGCAGGCAGATGCTGTGGTAGGGCTGCAGAAAGCTATTAAGATACTTGAGGATAGCACCCACAAGAATCCCAACTCCTCCGTCCTGCATCTATCCGATAGCCGAATTCAGCCATACCGTCTCATCAACTTCGATTCTCCTACTGTCCCAATTCATTGGTTTCATGTAGGATTGAGGTTCCAAACTTCACCTGGTTTTGTAATGCAGGAGTTTGAAGAGTTCCTGATGACAAAAGTATTTAGAGGAATCATCAGAGACATCCAACTAAAAATTGTTGAGGAAAGCAGCAGATCAACCATCATTAATATTGCAGAGTTGAGAGGCGACGAAGAAAAGATAATTGTAATGGACAATCTGTTGAGTGATAATGAAGGACATGTCAGGGTGAGATACAGCTACATCGATGGCGAGATCGGCGGCGAGGAGTGTATGAAAGCAGGCGAGACCCTGCTAAGTTTAGGAATCAAGAGCAACAATGATGTTACTTTCAATGAAGCTGGTCGCGAAAACAGGGAAGAGGATGCAAGTTTAAGCAGGAGGATTAGCAGCGTCGAACAATGGGATCATCACGATCCGTTCGGAGCTAGAAGATGGTCCAAGCACTTGCATTCTTACCGGCTATAATTCAAGAGATGAATGAACACAGTATAAAAGAGCTCTAGAATGTGGTACTCTAAGTGCTTGGTTGAAGAAGGGTGTAAATAAAATGTTTGAAAATAAAATATCTAAGAATTTTAGTTTCAGCAATGATTTATGAAAGTCCCACCCCGACTAATTTAGAGAATGATCATGGGTTTATAATGAATAAATACTCTCTCCATTGGCACGGGGCTTTTTGGAGAAGCTCAAAACAAAGCCATGAGAGCTTATGTTCAAAAAAGAAAATAGTGGAGAGTCGTGTTCAACTAACATAGTATGAAAGTCATGCTCTAAATTTAGTTGTACGAATAGATTGGTATACAAATCCTCAAATAATGAAAGTCCCCCATGTGGTTTATTAAAATGTTGAATTCCCATATTGCCCCTGCCATGGAGAAATCGCTGTTGTTTATCACATTACATTCTCAAATTTGAGGACTAATTGGTGCATTGAAGCCGATGATGACAGAAAAAGACAAACCGTTGAAATCCGTGCCAACTTCCTCTGTTTCTCTCTCTCTCTCTCTCTCTTTCTTCTTCTCTACATCCTTTTCGCCGTCTAGTTCTTGGAAAGGGATTGGAGGCTCGATTTAGTAATTCAATGCCCCAACAGATTTCATCTTCTCTTTTGTATCTCTAGAAAATTTGGACACCAAAATTCATCGTTTCTTTCCGGTGTTGACTGATTTTCACTTTCAGCATTTCTTTTGGCGATTTGGAAGGTTATGTTTCCAAGACTTGTGAATCCTGACGGAGATATCCAGATCCATGGCAGCCATGGTTCTGTTGCTTCCGACCTCACTCATCCCCACAGGGGTGATCCTTGTCTCGTTTTGACTTCAGATCCCAAACCTCGACTCCGATGGACTGCCGATCTTCACGAGCGATTCGTCGATGCTGTTACTCAACTCGGTGGTGCTAACAGTCAGTACTCTTACCTCTTCTTCTTCTTCTTCTTCTTTTTTACTTCAATGAATCGATTTTTGTTTGCTTTGGTAATGTTTTGCTGAGCTTTTATTCTCATGCATCTGGATTTTTAGTACCTATTATTGGCACTATTTACTCTAGGATTTTCATTTTAAGCTCTCTTGGATTAGGAGACCTGGCTATTGCGTTGAAATGAATTGTGTTCCGTCAGGGTCAAGCACTGGAACGCCTACATTTTAGTACCGGTTTTCGAATAACAATGTAAACGGTGAGTTTGATGTTTGGAGCTTCAATAATTCGGGGATATTGTTGAAAGATTCCCCTTCCATGAAGAGCATCCAGTATTTGGGCTGGTATAAAATGTATAAATTACATAGCTTATGGCTAATGAACCCAAAAGAAAAGAACATGGGACTAGACTTTAGACAAATGGGATGGGAGGTCAGGCTCAGTTATTCCAGAGTAATTAAATTCGGAAGTTCAGCTAGTTTCTATTGCTTGGTTTCAGGAATATTGTGAGATTACATAGCTTGAGTGCTTTAAAGAATGTTCATAAATGATTATTGTCAGGGGAGTTTGTGCTTATAAATGGCTCATAAATTGAGTAGATTTAGAAAGTGGAGGGGTGATCTTGATGTTGTTGGGGTGTCACTTTAATTAAGATGATAATACCAGTCCTTGCATCACCTAACTCTGGGCTTGGGACATTCATTAGGAAACAATTCAGAGTCTGTGTTTTTAGTTGAAATGATTGGATTAAGAATCCGATGATTAGCTCAAATTGACCCTTCTGACAGAGAAAACCTCCAAGGTTGATCAAAACAGGAAAAAGGCTTACAAATCGCTGTAGAAAATTTTGTTTTCTTCCTTGAAAATCTGCTGCAGCATCTCTAGTTCTAGAAATCTAAGCTGTATGGCAACTAAGAATTCTGTTTAGACTTCTGAAGGAAACCTAATTATAAATCTGACGAAGTCAATTGAACTTTTATGCTCTTTTTGAAGATCTGTTACTTATTTTGTTCCGAAGGCGAAGAGGGCTTGACATGTTTGACATGTTTGACCATAAGACTGTAGCTTTACAAAAATCAAACGGGATTGTAATCATTAAGTCCACTTGTGCCAAGACGAGCATAGTTCAGAAGTCAAGGTATCAACTCCTTCCATTGAGGTTGGAGGTTTGAAGCTTAACCCGCTAAAGTCCACATGTTTGCAACAGAGAGTCTGCTATGCGTGCTTTGATTGGATGTCTTGGTGGGGACGAGGGTGGGGAATATGGGGTCATATTTGAATTCTAACCAATGATAGGGTTTGACATTTGAACACTTGGTGCAGAAGCTACACCAAAAGCAATAATGCGAACAATGAATGTGAAAGGACTGACTCTCTTCCATTTGAAGAGCCACCTCCAGGTGATCATAATGGCTTAAAAAGGCATCTTTTTATGTAAGAATTCTGATACTGCTGGAGTTCATGGTGAATTTGTATTCATGATGCTTGCTCTCCTTCATTACAGAAATACAGATTAGGTAAGCAATCAGGGAAGGATATGGGTGAGGCCTCTAAAGATGGTAAGGGATAAATCTCTATTTTTTCCCCTTGTTTATCATGTGATGTAAAGCCTCCATGAGTCTGCTGATACTCAACTCCATTATCAGTATTCGCGCTAGCTACTAATTTTTTAAAATTTTAACCTGTCTGTCCAAATATTTAAATCTTTCTTCATGGGTTGGTGCTTTGAACATCAGGTGCATATCTTTTAGAAAGTCCAAGTATCAGTAATTTCTCTCCTGACTTGCCAATTTCTGAAATGACCGAGTAAGATACTTGTGATATTTGTGATAATGCCTTGAATGTTACAAGATTTTAAGTTCAAACTGTTCATAACTTAGATATCTATTTTAGTGGTTATGAAGTCAAGGAGGCATTAAGAGCACAAATGGAAGTGCAAAGTAAGTTACATCTGCAAGTTGAGGTAAAATTCGCATCCTTGACATTAATTAAGATGGAACTTGATATTGGTTTCGGACAGATTCCGTGATGATCCAAATTTGCTAAGTTTCTGGTTGTTAGATTGCTTGCTTAGTTGATTATCCTTGTGCTTGAGTACGCTTCGAATCACGTATTTAAAATGTATGATACACTGCTATAGCTAGCAAGGGAGATTTTTGTACCATTCTTCAGCTAGCTGACCTTACTAGCGTTTGAGCAGGCAGAGAAGCATCTACGAATTCGTCAGGATGCCGAGCGAAGATATTTGGCGATGCTTGAGAGAGCTTGTAAAATGCTTGCAGATCAATTCATTGGAGGTGCGGTTTCGGACTCGGACAGCAAGAAGTCTCAAGGACTAGATCGTAAGAGCCCGAGAAGTTCCTCGATCGACCCTCTTGGTTTCTATGCTTCGCAATCACAGGGGATGGAAAGAGCGAATGGCACAGAAGAATTGCAAGGTAATCCTCCTTACCAAAGGGCTGATTGTTCGACCGAAAGCTGCCTAACCTCGAACGAAAGTCCTGGGGGATTGACTATGGAGAAATCTCCTGTGGCAAGCAAGAAAAACATAGTTAACTTGGATTCAGCAAATGCATCTTTGATTTGGGATGAAGCTAGGGAAGGAATACAAGATGCTAATATCATCCAAATTAACCATCACGGCGTATCCGAGTGCGACATGTGGGGATGAAATTCTACAAACAAAAACTCATCATGATTGATGAGAAAAGTATGTTCTAGTTTCAACATTGTAAAAAATTTCATCATTTTCCATCCATAGAGAATCTAGCATGAACTAAACATTCCTTAGCTTGTAAAACCAAGCCATTTAGTTCATAGACAACTCGTCGAAATGCACGTAGTTAGCCATTCTTTTTGCTGTTCCAAACATAGTCGATTCCTGTCCAGCTTTTAGCCGATTTGATTCGATTCAATTATCAGGATCTGTAATCAGTAATGTTAAGTTGAAAACACATCCTCTTTCACTAGCTAGTGAAACAGAGATCCTCTTCCATTAATGGTGGCAAAATGAATGAATCTTGTGTCACTTTTGCTTTAATCATTACAAGCAAATCATAATTAATCAAAACATTACAATGGAAACCTCGGATTTAGGAAAAGAAATGAAAGTGTCTCATCCATAAAAGTTTCATCTTTTTATTTTTATTTTTATTATTATTCTTATTATTAGGTGGAGCTGGAAAAGTCCCAACTGCCAAAGCCTTTTTTGACCAAGACCACAAGCCAAGCCAAAACAATTGTGCAGCTTTTTTATTTTTTACTTTTTACTTTCGGTTAAAATTACTCTGATTTGACTTAACAAAATAATAATAATTTATATTCAAGAAACAGTACAATAAAAAAAATATTTTTTCCATATTTTTTTTATCTTTTTTGAAGAATTATTCTTAAACTTATCCGACCAAATTTAAGATTCAAATTTAGAAATTTAAATCATTTACATCTTAATCAATAATTATGTTAATTACTTTTGGAGCTATGTTTGTTTATCTGGTTGTTCATAATAAATTCATTCTAGAATATTGATTCTAACTTCAAGAGATGGGTGTCAACTTGGCCTAAGGAACGAACTCGAAAGTGAGTAATGAATGGTGGAAGTTTTTAATCCGAAAGAGAATGAAATGGCGAAAGGTGAGTGATGGAGAAGAGATTGAAGGCTGAGCCAATGCAATAATGAAAAATGAACCTCCAAATTCCACCAGTTTTTGCTTTGCGTTCGTCCTGTAAACCAGGCAAAGGGCCGATGGGAGAGAGAAGCGCAGCGACGCAGTGACACCGAAGGGAATCCAATTGTTCTATCTTCTTCTTCCCTTGATCATCAAACACTCGAGAGCTACTCAGAAAGTGGCGCCCAATATTGGGGGATGCAGCCGTAGATCTAGGTATCTTCTTAACCTCTTTGTAAACGTATAATCTTACCTTACATTTACATTGGTTTCTTGTTCAAGTCGTTGCTCTGCTTTGCAATTTGCGGAGTTTTCAACTCTAATGCCCATCCATGTCTCTACCCTTCGGTTTCGGATATTGATTTCTTATCCCTTTCAAACTAACCCTGATTCTCTACCTTAGCATCTTTGTCAGTTCGTTGTTCTCCTTCTTTCGTTTGTTTCAGTGCCTGTTGATTAATTTGTTCGTAGCCTTTTAGCTTATTTGAAGTCGTGGATTT